AAGTCTCTCCGCCGCAATGCTGCTGGAACTTGACAAACGTCGCTGTTTTCGTCTACTTGCGCGATGCTCGTCCGTGCCCCAGGTGTTCGCGCGCCGCCAAACATGCACTTTTCTTTTTTATTTTAAATGTCCTTTGTAATTAATATTTATTTCCAGACAGACACAGATTTAAGCGAATAATTTTTCTCGACACCTTTGTTATTTATTTAAAAATTCACTAGTCTTCGTACATGAACAACATAATCTTCGTGTCTTTTTCTTTTTTATCAAAATTCTCTTCGATAATAATCAAAACTGTTAATTTAATTTTATTACACTTGAGAAAAGAAATTTCGAAACCTTAAATCTTTTTCTAGGAATACTTTCGACTTACTAGTGTTCAACCATTCAATGAACAACAAGTTTTAGAATGGAGGGAGATAACTTGAAAAAGACATTTTTATAATAAAGTCGAAAAAGTAAGTTATATCTTGGATCAATCTCTGATTATTTAAATAGACAAGATAGAGGAAATGTTTCGCTATAAACAAGCATAGAGAGTAGAAAAATGTTCGTAATAAGAGAACGGAGGTTCGAGAAGGTCCTGGATTAGAATCGGTGAATTCCTCGATCGATGAATATTCATGGGGGGGGGCCGATTTCTTGTGAAATATTCGCGAGGTTGGTCGGGGAACGATTAAAAGCATGATTTCGGGACCGTGATTCATCGACGGGGCATCCGTGGCGGGTGACAGAATCGCGGATCGGGGCACGGTGCCGCGAAGGTTTTCACTTCGGGAGGCGAGTCGTCCGAAAAGGATTTACGATCGGCAAAAAGATGACCGCAATGGCGGCGTTTCGCCATTCGAGACCCGCCGCTTCGAGCTCGGGGAGAGCTCGACGCTCTTTTCCTCCGGGGGCCCTTTCGATTTCGTTCCGATTACAGCCTCGATATGTGTGTCGACATTGCCCCCCTTTAACCGGGCGAAAGTTCTCGGCTAATTGAACTTCTTAATCTTCGACTCGTTCGCGACGCTCGCCATCGCCCCTGGCAACTTCACCTTCTTCCACCGCCCCCTAAACTAATCACTTGCAACTAAAACTTTTATTACGTTTATTACTAAAACATCCATACCCCCCCAAACATCTCACGAACAAATTTCATTTAAAATATATTGTCTATTTTCTATAAAAATTGTTAGAGAATCGATGATATTGTTTTGTTTTTCTTTTGTATGCACACGTGTTTAATTTACTTCGAAATATACAGTGAGTGTAAAAAGTATTCGTACACCAGTCAATTTGAACAAAAACTTTGCGGAACTTTGTTTATTACAAAAGTATGGTAACAACAAACATGCATACATATTCTTAGAAATCTCGGGAACAAATCTCATTAACAACAAATTATTTATTTATATTTATTATGAAAATATTAACAGTAAATTGACCTAAAATATACGCGTAATAAGTATTCGTACACTTCTAATTTTACAACAAAAACTATAAATTTTAGTACATAAACGTAACAAAAATCAGTCTATTTGCTATTTAAGTATCTAGTGGGGTTTCCTTTAGATTCTATAATCGCTTTAAGCCTTTGTGGCATTGAATTTACTAAATTTTTGGTTATAGTACTAGAAATTTTGTTCCATTCCTCTAAAAATGGATTTTTTAAATCTTGTTTCGAAGAAATGTGATGTCTAACAGCTCGAATGGCCTATCAAGAGCGACAATAACTGTTTACGTTTGATTCAGTTGCATTTTATAGCGAACCAATGTGTTTATTATTTCATTGAAATCATTATTTCGAACTTGATCTGTTTTATTGCCTTAGAAGGCGTTAAGATTTTGTTAGATTGATGGATACATATATATATATAACGGTTTAATAATAATGAACAATACAGAAGCGATACATGTTGGTGCACGCAACAACGCACGACGACTACACAACAATCTCGGTGGAAAGCGACGCAACACTCATGCGCGCGTTCTCACTCGCGCACACTCCTCTGCGCATACTCACAGGCGCACGCTACGGGACGTGTGACAAACTTCCATCAGATTTTATTAGCTTCAAAGCAACATTGCAACAAAGTTCTTTTATCAAAACAGTTTCGAGTTGTTGGATCCCCATAGCAAAAGAACTATCGAATGCAAAGAATTAACCTTCTATAACACAGCGTCACTACAAGTCACTACATACCCATTATTTCCATTTTTTAAGTCTGATTTAATTTTTTGTAGAAGGTATTCTTTCGCAAAATGAAACAATTTGAGGGGGTTGCACATTAAATACATAATAAATATTACTAAATGCTAAAATATTGTTTACTGTCTCTGTTGGTGCAATGAACTCGTTAATAACTTGTACGTTTCGATTGAAAAGAGTAATGTATGAGTGGAAAAGTAGAATAATTGAAGGTGAGGCAACGTCACACCGTGTAAACGAAGGTCTAGGTTTGGGTTAGCGTCAGACACCATGGTGGAAAGATCGCAAATCACGTCGACTGGAAATCGTATAGTCCAATGGGAATCTATAAATTCTCGTGGATGTACACGAGGAGGGTTTTGGTCGAATAAATCGATTCGCAGAAGGTTGTTTGAACGACGCGCGCGGAATACACGCGAGGTACGCGCTGCACAACGTTAAACATTAATGGGTCAATGGCGCACTGAAACGACACTGCACAGTAAACACACTCGTATTCTTAGACAGTGTTTCGTAGGTTGGCTACCGTGCATGGCCAATTAATGTCCAAATAAAATCCCGGCCGTGCTACGTTCCACCGTGTTTTATTACCAGGCACAGCCAGAAACATTCGACAGGAAGTTTCACCGAGCCACCAGCACCCCTCGGAATCACTTGGCTCGTTAAAGAAAAACAATTCCTCGCATCTAACCGATCAGAGAAAGAGAGAGAGAGTTCCTCTTCTCTGCACTCGAGATTATGTAGAGTTCGATGAAACACAAGTGCGAATGCAGGAGTACATGACTAAATTGAAACCTATCGGAATTGTAATTTAAATTAGTCAATGTAGTATTGTTTAGAACACGTTCAACTCACGTGTAGTTTAAGTAAGAAGCGAGAGAGAAATGTTTTCGACCTAGGCTTGCTTAGACGCTGAGATGTTCGATATTTGGGTTTGGTAGGTCTTATACCAATACCTATACATATATGTAGTATATTCCATTGCACGCGTAATTAATTTTCAAAGTTGATTTTCTCGATTTTTTCTTAGTTTTTTACGTAGAATCATCCTCTTTCCTGTTATACCAGATTTTGTTCATATTTTCTATTCAGACACACAGTGATAAACGTGTGTGTTTTAATTTTGAATGCACAATAAAGGAGTGTTGTTACTGTTACTGTTTCGACGAGCGTTGCTAAGAATGAAATGATAATTTTCGAGTTGGATGATAAAAATAGTTGATTGGGTAGCTGTTGATTACCCGTTGTGTGCTCGAAGGCTTGTTCTGGTCTGCAAACTCCTACTCGGTATCAGTGAAAACCGCGTCGGCAGGATAGCCAGCGGAATGGAACGCGAGGGAAATGAGGAAAGTCGGGCACCGATGAAAGTGAGAGGATGCAGGGGCTACAGGGCGTTTCAGTCAAGTTGTTTCTTTTCTGTCACTCGCAGGGAGAAAGGAGTCGAACCGCGGATAGTTTTCGTTCTGCGTTCTACTCGATTTCGTATTTAATACCAGTTCTCACGATCGCTAATTGCTTTTCAAACTTCCAGGTGAAAAGTTGAGAAATTCCCTCGCGAATTTCCACAATTCGTTTCCTCGAAAATCTATAAAATTCTATTCGTGTTCCTGCAAAAAATAAGTCGAGATTTTCGAGTAAAATTTCTACCAAGTATCTTTATTTTTCAAAATAACACGTCGTTGTTCATTGCTACTATTTTTATTTTCTATTCGATTAGAATGAGATCGTTAAGTGTGAAACCATTACTTTCTAAAATTAATTAATGTTAAAAAAGGAACATGTGGTTATTTTCGAGCTCTCTTAATTTTTGATAATTGGATTAAATTCTCACGCGTTGGTTTTATTAGTCACATATGTAACACTGTAAATAATAACGATATTTTCTACGTATGGATGGGTTTCCATGGATGTTTGAAAAAGGTAAAGGTCGTGGAATCTTATTCGGCACGGAACAAAGCCGATCGCAATTTCGGGGAAACGTGGTAGGTGACTCGAAAGAGCAGCCGTTATAAATAATGCCGTGACGCACATAAGTTAGACATTTAAAAATACAAAATGCATCTCGAAACCGTTCCGAACGAATGATAAATCGAGGACGTGATTTTTAAGATTTATTTCTGGACACCTTTTCGCCCACTTTTTTTGCGTCCAAGTCGAGTCACTGTAGTTGGAAAAACTCGTCATCGGAAGACGAATGAATGGCGAACAAACATCGATTGCTCTTTTACGAGCATCAGAACGGTTTTTAAAAGCCAACGATACGGTCAAAAATCAATTTAAAGTTACATCGATCGGTTGAAATACGATCCTAGTGGAACTGATATTTCTAGGCGTTATTTTTCTTATTGGATGTAACCAGTATTTTATATTTTATTTATAAAAATAATGATGCATTTTATATTAAAATTTTTAAGAAATACAATGATCAACATATACAACAATTTTTAATTATTTTTAATGAGTAAAATTGCATCTATAAATTGAATTTCAGCCCATATTGGTTTAAAATGAAGATCAGACAAGCGTCAAAATGTTAATTGAAAAATGTATTTTATTCGAAGCATGAAAACATTTAATATCGTTACTTTGAAAAAACGGATGCAATCTTTAATCTAGAAACCGTAATACATATAATATAAATGCATTATAAGAAATATTTAATATGAAAAGCGTGAAAATTGTCTGCGACTCGAAAGAATATCAACACAAATGAAATATAACTGTAAGAAAAGTTATGCTAGTGAAATAAACAGTGATAAAATTAAGACTCGTCCGTCTAATGATAGATTTTCGTCTCTGATTGCAGGTTGAGCGTTCGAATGCAAAAGGTTTGAACGACCGCGAGGGTTCTCCGACGAGAAAGAACCCGGATAGAGTGGCAGAAAGGAGGCAGAACAAAAATCAAGAGGGAAGCGAATCACTCAGAGTGACGGTTCATCTTCGACGATGGCTGGCGAGGACACGCAGATCCTGGCGAACGGAAACGTTGAGGCACTCACGATTATCTCGCCGAAGATGGCGAACGGGAACGGGCTGATTTGCGGGAAACAGCACAACAACAACGGCTCGATACCGAACGGGAAGCTTCACGAGATCGGCACCACGGAAAACGGAAAGCTGATCATGTCCGACGAGAAGTCGAGCAGCCTTCACACGGAATTCGACGACGCTGACGTCTCCTGCGGCTGGGGTCCCTGCAGGCCACGGTGGCTTCAGTATTTTGCCACCAAGCAAGCCTTCTTGGTCACCTTCTGCATCACTTGGGTCAGTTTTTATCCTTTCACCCAGCATCTTTACTTTGCAGCTTTTATACACGTGTTTAAAATTCACTGGCTTAACAACAACAGACTACGAAAGCCACTCAAGTTTCCATTCTTTTGATATAACAAAAGACAGACCAACTCGCCTCATTTGACTCGTTCTCCCGATTTCTTCCACGGTGGCTTCAGTATTTTGCCACCAAGCAAGCCTTCTTGGTCACCTTCTGCATCACTTGGGTCAGTTTTTATCCTTTCACCCAGCATCTTTACTTTGCAGCTTTTATACACGTGTTTAAAATTCACTGGCTTAACAACAACAGACTACGAAAGCCACTCAAGTTTCCATTCTATTGATATAACTAAAGACAGACCACCTCGCCTCATTTGACTCGTTCTCCCGATTTCTCGTTCCCAAAGAAAGATCTATCTCTGTTTAGCGAACAAACAAGCAATTTCGAACATTTTAAAGGATCAGCAGAGTTGTTCCATAGTGTGAAACGCTAACTGGTCGCTGTTCCGATTGCAGGTCCTCCAGGGCATGTATTACACGTACTTCGTCTCGGTGATCACGACGATCGAGAAGCTCTTTCAGATCCAGTCGAAGACCACCGGTATCATAATGTCGGCGACGGAGATCGGTCAAATCGGTTCCTCTCTCCTGCTCACGTACTACGGGGGCCAAGGTCATCGGCCTAAGTGGATCGCTTGGGGCATGATCCTGTTCGCGGTGAGCTCGTTCACCTGCTCGATGCCCCATTTCATCTTTGGCGAACAGCTGATCCACCAGAACGAGAGGTTTTTCAGCGGCGTCGAGCCTGTGCCCGCGAACCTCTGCAAGCTGCACCCACGACCGGAGAACTTCACGCTGGACGGGTGAGTCCTAATTTACCCTAAACAATCTACCACTTTACCATACATCCAATAACCAGACTCTACGGATCTTTCTCCAAATTCATTGTTGGAAATCCTATAAATACAATACAAAACTGAAACGACTACTGTAGAATAGGCGTTATTGTACCTGTGGATGTATAAAAGAATTCATAATATCCGGAATCTAGATACATATATGAGCCGTTTATTTTGAAACTGGCCTAACTCCATTTTACAATTTTTTTCCGGTTACCATGGTTACATATACAAATGCGATAATTCTAGACGCATAAGTTTTCAGAGTTAGTACAATAATTGAACCGTGTAGTTTGAAAGTGGCCTAACTCCATTTATACTTAAATCAAGATATTTACTATTGATAATGTCGGAAAGCAGTGATGAAGGTAATTCTAATTAATTAATATTTTCAAGTTAACCTCAGTTTTTGGACAATTGCGTTAGTTGAATAACCAGTACGTTTAATTAATATAAAACTTAAATATTAAATTTTAGAAATTATTTCACACATGGGGAAGAACAGAATAGGACTATTTAGTTCAGATAGTGAAGAAGAAATAGTAACTAATGATTTAAAAAAAAAATCGAAAAAGAAACAGAATTATAGAACAATATTCGTCTTCAGGGGATGAAGATACGAACAATAATGGAGAAAAGATCGATGAATCATACATCGAAAAAGTGCGAAAGATTAAACGGAATTCAGGAAAAAGATATTGTACTCAAACCGGAAATATTGTACTTGAAAAGATTTTCGAAAACAAAGATTGCCGTTGTCGGAATGCTTGCACAAAAAATTACGACGAAGAAGAAAGAAAGAATATTTTTGGGAAGTTTTGGGTTTTGGGAGATTTTAATAAAGAAAATGTATTGCTTTACGAAGTTGTCGAGCGCAAAATTGTGGAACGAAGACGTCCAACAAACGGAAAAGGTTCGCGAAGAAATTGGAGTTTTAAAGATATGGAAAATAAATTCAGTATTGTTTTTTTTCAATTCGAAGCATCTTAAATTATGTTGAATGGACTTGGGCACCTTCGAATTTTATAATGAATCTGGTTGTTAATTTTGAAAGTGGCCTAACTCCATTCTTGATAAGAAAACGCATATTATTCGCTTAATAATTGCCACTATTTTAATAGGAACTATAAATTTAACACCCTTAGATACACTTAAGCGGTATGACTCATTAGTATCCTATACGTATATTTTTAAATTCATTGAAACGCAAATCCTTAAATATCTCGATTTGAAGATAAATGGACTTAGGCCACTTTCAAAATAAACGGCTCATTTAAAACTTGCGTTTATTGGCGATAGACACTATTTTAGATCTCTCCCTCCGTTACTACCATTTATCCAAATTTCGCCACGTGTTATTAGCTAGCCAATCGTCGTCAGATCAAGAGTTTTTATAGTTCACAGTATCACCACTAGGGGCATGGAACTATATTGTACAATGAAAATGGAGGTATAGATTGACCAGTAGCATATTTTATTTTATATGCATTTTTAAAAACTTCCTAATTATCAGACGTTAATTTTGAAAGTGGCCTAACTCCATTCTTGATAAGAAAACGCATATTATTCGCTTAATAATTGCCACTATTTTAATAGGAACTATAAATTTAACACCCTTAGATACACTTAAGCGGTATGACTTATTAGTATCCTATACGTATATTTTTAAATTCATTGAAACGCAAATCCTTAAATATCTCGATTTGAAGATAAATGGACTTGGGCCACTTTCAAAATAAACGTCTTATATGTTTAAAACAATAAACAGCGTCCTAACAACCGCTACTGCGAGGCGTGATTGCTAATAAATAGACTGCGGATCTTCATGCAAATTCAGATTTTTATTAATAAAATTGATGAAATTGGAGCTTTGTAGGGGGTTGTCTGAACCCCTAAATATAATAATTCGTATCTTTATATTTGTCAATATTAAATGCATTCGCTGTCTATTGACAACACAATTCAATTTTTATTCTTAACGTTTCCTTTATAACGAAGGCACGAGAATTGTCTCAGATTTTTTGCCACGAAAACATTAATACATTCGCAGCCTGTGACGTAATTTTACGATATTTTTAAATCGACAACTGGTCCCCGCTTACGCAATTTTATGTAATTTTATATTTATAGTGGCGCAGATTTATTATTCGTATTTATGGTTTCTTATAATAAATTCATTTCGAGCTCGTCAAAACAAGTATTTAAAAAAGGGAAATTTGTTTGCTCAAAGACAAAAATGTCCTTTCCTTTCTTAACGAATTATAACAAATAAAATTCAATTTCAATAAATTTTCATGCCAAGAAAAATATACAAATAAATTCTCGTGAATAAAAATGTAATTGGGTTGTAATTCCCGCGGCGAGTAATGTTAGGGCCCGCCGTGGCGCGTCGCTTCGCTCGCTGCTGCGGTGTGTTGTTGCTTGTGGCACGTGTTAAAGATGTAACCGCGTAAAAGTTTATTACTATTATATACTGTCTTTTATATTACTCCGTTTGTGTATTCTATAAATATATAACCTATTTTTTATTGCCTATATCTCAAATAAACTGTGTTCATATAAACTACACGTGCACTCTAACCCTGCTGCGCCATAAAAAAATCTATTCGTTAATTGGGAATAAATTTAATAGTTTTATTTGTCATTTAAAATGAAATCAATCCAATTCTGACCACATGGTTGTCACACGAAGGGGTTGAAAATTATTTTCCCGGAGTAAATATGTATGTTTGGTAATATTATACACAAGTGTATGTAACGTATGTTTAGCGAAACTTTTATCAGTGTTCTCAAAATTCCTCTGCAATGTTCCTCGACCCATTTCTTTATCGATCGAACCTTTTTTAAGTGGAGCACTGGTGTCGTTCGATATCCGCCCACTGACCTTTTATTTATAAATAAAAGGTAGACGTAGCTGCAAGCGTACCTTCAACCTTATTACACGATTATTATTGCCTCGAATTGATCGAGTTACCGCATTGTAACGGCAATATTTGGTTTGTTTTCGATTTAAAGGTCGCTCTCGTCGCCGTTACCAACGCAAGTTGACACGATAAAATACTGCGAGAACGAATTCAAAACGAAGCAGCTGATACAGACCAAAATCACCACGGTGGTTCTAGCGATATTTTTCGTCTCTTTATTGGGGGTTGGTATGGGCCAGACGGCAGTTTACACACTTGGAATTCCTTACATGGATGACAATGTGGCTAGCAGAGAAAGTCCTCTGTATTTTGGTAAGAAATTTATTATTATTCTCATCTTACACAGAACAAAAGAACCAGCTGAAATTTCCCTATTATCAAATAAAAACAAAATTTACTATAATTTTATTCTACATTTCGAACAATACGTTCTAATTAATATAAAATAAAGTGAAATGTACAGAGTAGTAAAAATGTAGCAATAATAACAAAATTAAATTTTACAGATTAACTGTTTCTAAATTTGCATTTCTAAAGAATGATACGTATGTACATTGATTGAATTTATTTGTCTCTGAAAACAATAGAGACAGAAATATGTCGTTTTATATGATAAAAGAACTGTATCTATTAAGTTGAATTAAAACAGAATTGATTTTCTTTTATATGTCAAATGTAACATATTGAAATGATATTGTTATGGTTGATGTTCAATTATGTAAATTTATTGTATTTAAAATATTTGAATATTTGAATCAAATGAAATTGTTTGAAACGAATTGTTTTCTTTAATTTTATTTTGCTATAATTCAAAACAGATTAATTTTTTAGTTAGAATTAAGACTCTTTTTGTGAATTTAAAGAATCGATTGCAGATAAGGCATTTTAATAGAACAATGAAAAAGGAAACCTTAAATCCATTTTTCTTAAACTAAAATATCGCGTTGCATAAGTGTTATATAATATTAATTGTAATTGGGTTACAATTCCCGCGGCGAGTAATGTTAGGGCCCGCCGTGGCGCGTCGCTTCGCTCGCTGCTGCGAGTTTGTTGTTGCCTGTGGGACGTGTTAAAGATGTAACCGCGTAAAAGTAATTAATTCTATGTTATATTTATAGCAACACCGAAAGTTTCGAATTAGTCGAAGTCGAAAGAATTTCAAATATTGTAATTAGTCGAAATTGATAGAATTTTTGTGTATCGCGTTCCAAGGTCTGCGTACTGGCGTTTAAACATTATGCCTATACATAATACTTTGTTACAGCGATCACCATCGGAGTGAGGATCCTGGGTCCAGCGCTAGGCTTCATTCTGGGTTCATTTTGCACGATGATTTATGCGGATTTGTCGACGAATCCGCAAATCACGCCGACGGATCCGAGATGGGTCGGAGCATGGTGGCTTGGTAAATTTAAATCCATTGAATATATTCACTTACACAAAGATAACGCTATAACCAAAGAAAAGCCCCGAAGCATAATTACTGTTCATTCTCGACGATATTCAGTCGGGCTCCTTCCATTCGATATTTTCACCTTCTCTCTTAATTTAAACTTTTATTCATCAATCACTGTTCACTATTCCCAGACACATCGGTTTACAAGATAATCAAATCTGAAACTTTATCAAATTTTTCAACTTTTCAATAAGTAACACTGTTGTATCGTTCATTAACCATAGTCTTGTTGAACAGTGAAAGTAAAATACAATTTTTTACGAGACCTTCGAAAGTAAAGTTAAATTCTAGTCAGTAATTTCTCGTGTTTGTTGGTCGAATAAACAGAAAATTTATAATACAGAATATATGTATTTTCATCTACGTATATCAACAAGGAAGGAGCTGGTACCTTATCGATCACTAAATAATTTAGTTAAATTCAAAAATATTAGTGTTTTAGTATATTTTAAAACTATATATTTACATTTTTAAATTTATATTCAATTTAATGAATTTTTCTTTGTTTCGTTATAAAAAAGTCACTATTGGACTTTCCAGAGCATCCGATATATTATAAATTTAAATCGATAAAATTTCTTTGATATTAAATAATTCTTTTTTCAACGATCTGTCTATTTTTGATACTTTTATTAGCGATAACAAAAAACTTTTCAATAAAAAAGAAAATATTAACAGAAATATTTTTTCTTTGCATAATATATGTATAAGTTAAATGAGAAACGAGATTATTTTGTTGCACAATATATACAATATTCAATATAACATAGTACAATACCAATTACAATTAAAGTTGCATTTTAAACATTATTTTCTTATATTATTGAATAATACTTTTTCAAAATGACATACGCGAGGTTTCGCAAGAGAAACATTACGTTATCTTATTAATATTGCAAATTATTTTGTCGAACAATGAATATTACTAGCGTCTCGAGCTTCTTATCTTCGCTAATAATTATGGATCATTTGTTAAACCTACTCCAGCTTCAGTATATCGAGATTTTTCTTTTTGGTAATAGTAATTAAAAAAATATTCTATTTTTAGTATATCGAGATTTTTCTTTTTGGTAATAGTAATTTAAAAAATATTCTATTTTTAGTACAATGAGATTTTTCTTTTTGGTAATAAAAAATTAAAAAAATATTCTATTTTAAGAAAATCTATCGATTGTACGCGACTCTTTTTGCTGATAAATAAGTAATCGTATATTAACGGATTCTAATCGACGAATTCCAGTTGAGAAAGAAGTATAAAATATTGATCGATATTTTTTAAATGAAATGATTTGAGGATGGGCAATTTGTAGAGACGTTACTTTTAATTCGTTGGACGTCGTTGGACGCCATATTAACGCGAACCGAGCAACTTACCAGCAACACGAAACAGAGAAAAAAAAGAAGGTGGAATTCGGTGTTTCAGGTTTTATTAATAGTTTAACGTCGCATCAACTACATGGTTATGGTGCTAATATCCGCCATGATGCTTTTTCAAAATGACATACGCGAGGTTTCACAAGAGAAATATTATGTTATCTTATTAATATTGCAAATTATTTTGTCGAACAATGAATATTACTATAGCGTCTTGAGCTTCTCTAATAATTATGGGTCATTTGTTAACCTACTCCAGCTTCAGTATATCGAGATTTTTCTTTTTGGTAATAAAAAATTAAAAAAATATTCTATTTTAAGAAAATCTATCGATTGTACGCGACTCTTTTTGCTGATAAATAAGTAATCGTATATTAACGGATTCTGATCGACGAATTCCAGTTGAGAAAGAAGTATAAAATATTGATCGATATTTTTTAAATGAAATGATTTGAGGATGGGCAATTTGTAGAGACGTTACTTTTAATTCGTTGGACGTCGGTGGACGCCATATTAACGCGAACCGAGCAACTTACCAGCAACACGAAACAGAGAAAAAAAAGAAGGTGGAATTCGGTGTTTCAGGTTTTATTAATAGTTTAACGTCGCATCAACTACATGGTTATGGTGCTAATATCCGCCATGATGCTTTTTCAAAATGACATACGCGAGATTTCGCAAGAGAAATATTATGTTATCTTATTAATATTGCAAATTATTTTGTCGAACAATGAATATTACTATAGCGTCTTGAGCTTCTCTAATAATTATGGGTCATTTCTTAAACCTACTCCAGCTTCAGTATATCGAGATTTTTCTTTTTGGTAATAAAAAATTAAAAAAATATTCTATTTTAAGAAAATCTATCGATTGTACGCGACTCTTTTTGCTGATAAATAAGTAATCGTATATTAACGGATTCTAATCGACGAATTCCAGTTGAGAAAGAAGTATAAAATATTGATCGATATTTTTTAAATGAAATGATTTGAGGATGGGCAATTTGTAGAGACGTTCCTTTTAATTCGTTGGACGTCGGTGGACGCCATATTAACGCGAACCGAGCAACTTACCAGCAACACGAAACAGAGAAAAAAAGAAGGTGGAATTCGGTGTTTCAGGTTTGGTGCTAATATCCGCCATGCTGGTGCTGGTCAGCTTGGGAATGTTCACGTTCCCGACGAGGCTGCCTGCGAGCAGAACGCCGCCGAAACGGCCGGACGCCAGAAAGCCTAGTCTCAGAGGTAAGCCCTGATTTATCGTGGCGACGCGAATTGTTCGTCAGGGAGGCTGGTGTTTAAGCTCGGGCCATCGGATCAGAGGCGGTTTAATTTGATTTTATGGCTTCCCGTAAGCCGTACGCCGCGCCCGTGTTTCGTGGCCTGGGCCCCGTGAAATTACCCCGGGGAAGATTCAACGAGAAAGATAAAAGTATCATCGATCGTTCGAAGGCCTTCTATTAATCGAGCCATTGCGTATCCGGTCGCTGAGAAACTCGAGACGACGATCTACGCGCACCAACCAGCTTCCCCCTCTCTAAACATGCCTTAAATACGTCTTCCCCTTTCCTTCCAACTATTTTTATCTATTCTAGCAAAAAAGAATTCTATTTTAATAATCACTCAATTCCGATTTACCAGTTTTCAAATTATTCTCTTATCTCTCTTTCCTCGTGCTAACGTTTCCTTCCATTTCACAATTTTTTCCTTTGGTTATGTTTGCAATTACAGTGTATTTATTTTTACCAAAAACTACGGTTAATTTTCAAAAATCCAGTCGAGTAAATTTTGTACAATTTTCATTTGAAATTACGAATGGGCCATTTTGACCCATTTTTCTTCTATTGCTTCTGATATGAGAAAAATAATATTGGCTGTAATTCAAACCTTTTTAGTTCATTTTTTATGTTCTTCGGTAAAGAATATTTCAAGAATGAAAAACTGTTTCTAACACAGTAAATTTTATTTAAAACGATATTTACTATGAAACAAGCGTAGATAGAGAATCGGTATGCAGTAGGAAATGGAAAAATAATGCGTGTTTCGTAAGTGAAAATTCGAGGGTTAATTTGGTTTGTTATTAATTTCGATAAGAAAGTTTCCATTCTGAAACAGTGAGCGTATTATGCATTCGACGGACACGTTTATCGGGACGAAAGAACGGGCCAATGGGATGATCTTTGAAGCGTGAACCATGCAGTCAAGGTCAATGGCGAATTTCGGGCTCGCAGAGTCGGCGTGTCTGCTCGTTCGATCGTGTGAGCACGCGGCCGAACGCGCTTTCTGAAACACGAGCGAGCCCTTTTCTGGGAACCCTTCGCACCGAGACTGCACAACGGCGACCCTTCGCTGCGTTTATTGTTGCTTCGTTTCGTTCTCGAAGCTTTGATCGAAGGTCGTGCAACGCGCACGGCTACGAGCAAAACTTGACGAACGGAAAACCGTACTAAATGGGTGCCTCAATTCTTTACATCTATTTTCAATCGAATTTTCTAGTTTCTCAACCTAAGTAATTTACAATTTCTAGAAATGCTTTTAATCTTGGAAAACTTGCATCATTTCAACGGGTACACTATACAGGGTGTTCGATCATCCCTAGGAAAAATTGCAATGGGAGATTCTAGAGGCGAAAATAGGACTAAAATCAACAATACCAATTTCTTGATGGAGGCTTCGTTGAAAAGTTATTAACGTTTAAAGTTCCGCTCGTACTGAATTTTTTTCTCGAAACTGCGTAAGATTTCGGGGGTATGTCTATTCACCAAAAATGATTGCAATTGATCGCTGTAACTGACAAAAATTTTTGGAAGGCGATTCGATATTATTTTTTTCCACCCAAAATATTCAGTACTTACTCGAATTTTTTTCTGGAAACTGCGTAAGATTTCGAGGGTATGTCTATTGACCAAAAATGCTTGTAACTGACCCCTGCAATTGAAAATAATTTTTCCAGAACGATTTGAAATTTTTTAATTTCGTCGAAAAATTTCACACCTTCTCGAATTTTTTTCTAAAAAGTGAGTAGGATTTTGAGGGTATGTCTATTGACCAAAAATGCTTGTAACTGACCCCTGCAATTGAAAATAATTTTTCCAGAACGATTTGAAATATTTTAATTTCGTCGAAAAATTTCACACATTCTCGAATTTTTTTCTGGAAACTGCGTAAGATTTCGGGGGTATGTCTATTCACCAAAAATGATTGCAATTGATCGCTGTAACTGAAAAAAATTTTTCGAAGACGATTCAATATTTTTTGATTTCACCCATAACATTCAGTACTTACTCGAATTTTTTTCTCGAAACTGCGTAAGATTTCGAGGGTATGTCTATTAACCAAAAATGAATGTAATTGACCCCTGCAACCAAAAATAATTTTTTTAGAACGATTTGAAAAGATCTTTTTTCACCGAAAAATTTAGGCACTACCCCCTGTCGATTTTTCTTAAAAATTCGTCTTTCATTTTTCATAAATTTGTTTGACGTTCTACAGAAAAGTTGTCTTATACTTTTTTGTAGGTACTCATGAGCTCCACTTCAGAAAAAAGTTTCATCGAAATATATTCACTATTGTGGGAGTTATGACTGTTTGAAAATTGCACAAATTTTATAGGGTTTTTCTCTTTTTACGCGATTATGGAACAACTTTTCGAATATTTTTGCAATTTCTACATATTCTCCACTAAAATACACGTTGTTTGCCGTTCGGAACATTAAAATCGGCCAATCCGTTCAGAAGTTACGACGTTTTAAAGATTCGCATGAAAATTCGGGCAGACATTTCTGGCTAGAAATTATATTTTCGGTAAGGAATTTTTTTTCTCGGAACTGAGTAAGATTTCGGGGGTATGTCTATTGATAAAAAATGATTGTAATTGACCCCTGCAACTGAAAATATTTTTTCCAGAACGATTTAAAATTTTTTAATTTTGTCGAAAAATTTCACACCTCGAATTTTTTTCTCGAAACTGCGTAGGATTTTGGGGGTATGTCTATTCACCAAAAATGCTTGCAATTGACCGCTGCAATTAAAAAAATTTTTGGAAGGCGATTTGATATTATTTTTTTCCACCCAAAACATTCAGTACTTACTCGAATTTTTTTCTCGAAACTGCGTAAGATTTCGGGGGTATACCTTGTGACCACAAATGCTTGTAACTGACCCCTGCAATTGAAAATATTTTTTCGAGAACGATTTGAAATTTTTTAATTTCGTCGAAAAATTTCACACCTTCTCGAATTTTTTTCTAGAAAGTGGGTAGGATTTCGACGGTATGTCTAATGATAAAAAATGATTGTAATTTACCCCAGCAACCAAAAATAATTTTTTTAGAACGATTTGAAATTTTTTTAATTTTGTCGTAAAATTTGACACCAGGAATTTTTTTCTAGAAAATGATCCCATAAATTTGTGCTTTTCGATATTCTGAAATTGACGAGGATAAAATTTGTAATTTAATGGAAAAGAAAATTTATCAGTTCCAGGGGAATGCACTTAATATGCAAAAATATAAGAAACACTTAAAGTAAAATAGGAATTATTACACATATTTAGGGGTTCAGACCTAACCCTCTACGAAGCTCCCATTTCATTAATTCTATTAATAAATATATGAATTTGCATAAAGATCCGCAGTCTACTAATCAAGTTCATTGTTCGAAATTCACTGATTAGTATAATCACATCGCGTCCTCCGTTAAATGCAAATGAGAATACTAAAAAAATAAACTCAGTCATCTTTCGCGTGAAATAAGTGGCGAAATAAATATTACCTGATATAGCTCAGTCACCGAATTGAGACGGTATGGAACAGACTAGATAAATAAATAAGAAAAAATTCAATAATTAAAAAAAGTAATGACGTAATATAGAAGAAGGTTATTTAAAAAAATTGTAGAATGATTGCCAAGTGACTTTCCAATAAAACAAAAGGGATATATCGTCGAAAATATGAATTTTTCCATTGTTAAAAATTATGAATTTTTTTAATGTGTGCCAATTATAATTTTGCAATGCCAATCGTTTCGTTTTATTCGTCTATAACGATAAAGATATTATTCAAATAAAAAGCATAAAAGAAGGATCATTTATTGTAGATATTTGGTGTTTATTTGTGAAATATCGGAGTAGATAGTGAAGTAGTTGAATAGTCCGGGGCGTATAGGTGTGTAACGCATAGGTATCAGGAGCGTGGTGGATTTCTGGTAGGTTACGTCGGTTGTGTTATGTCGGCCGAGGTGCACGAGATAGCTGAGATAAGTCTCTCCCCGCAAGGAGCGGATCCGCGCAGAAGAACACGGCCGTATATGCACGGAGAAATGCACGTGCGCGTGCCTACCGAGCGCTATGCACGACGCATGACCGTGAACTTGCCCCACCTAGTGCACCACTCGGTCAGTCATCATTATTAACGCACACACGGCCCACCACCAGCAACGTCCACACACACCTGCCGTACCTTACTCCTACGTATGCATCGACACACGCCACCACAATCCACACACCAGAAATCCCAACACATTTCGGAACCATCCACTCCTTTCCCAGCCAATCTTCAATTACGCTTTACCTTTTTTCTCCATTCCAACCCGAAAATTTATTCTTCCTCGTCTTTGAAGTCAAAGATGGGACCACTGTTGAAATTTTACTGCTTTTTAAACATATTTTCTCTCCCTTCCTTTTACGTTTCAAATAAGCTTCTTTTAAAGAAACATTTTTTAATATAATAATAATGATAATATTGTTTAATAAATGAAATTCTATTACTTTTTTAACATATTTTCTCTTTTTTTTCTTTTACATTTCAAATAAGCTTCATTTCAAGAAACATTTTTAATATAATAATAATAATGATAATATTGTTGAATAAAGGAAATTTTACTGCTTTTTTAACATATTTTCTCTCTCTTCCTTTTACGTTTCAAATAAGCTTCTTTTAAAGAAACATTTTTTAATATAATAATAATGATAATATTGTTGAATAAATGAAATTCTACTGCTTTTTTAACATATTTTCTCTCCCTTCCTTTTACGTTTCAAATAAGCTTCTTTTAAAGAAACATTTTTAATATAATAATAATGATAATATTGTTGAATAAATGAAATTCTACTGCTTTTTTAACATTTTTTCTCTCTCTCTCTTTTACGTTTCAAATAAGCTTCTTTTAAAGAAACATTTTTTAATATAATAATAATGATAATATTGTTGAATAAATGAAATTCTATTACTTTTTTAACATATTTTC